GACTGGGTGGCTTCTGAACAACAAAAATGTATTTCTCCCTGCTCTGGAGGCTGGAAATCCAAGATCAGGGTGCCAGCATGGTTGGGTTCTTGGTGAAGGCCTCCTCCAGGTTGCAGACTGCTGACTTCTTGCTGCATCCTCACATGGTACAAGAGGTAGGGGACTTCTCTTTTTTTTTTTTTTTTTTTTCCAACGTTTATTTATTTTTGGGACAGAGAGAGACAGAGCATGAACGGGGGAGGGGCAGAGAGAGAGGGAGACACAGAATCGGAAACAGGCTCCAGGCTCTGAGCCATCAGCCCAGAGCCTGACGCGGGGCTCGAACTCACGGACCGCGAGATCGTGACCTGGCTGAAGTCGGACGCTTAACCGACTGCGCCACCCAGGCGCCCCGAGGGGACTTCTCTTTTTTAAGGGCATTACTCTCATTCATGAGAGCTCTGCTCTCATGACCTAATCACCTCTCAAAGACCTCATCTCCCAAATACCATCATATTGGGGATTAGAATTTACACATATGAATTTGGGAGGTGGGGCACAAGCATTCAGACCTGGCCTATTTCTGAAGTCATTATAGATGCCAGATCATGTCCTTCTGTTCACAGCATGGTTTTTCCTCTGTCTCATAAGGTCGTTTCTGTTCAGAACATGATGATCGAAGCTATCTTTCTGTCTTCTTGTCTGAAATGTACAGGCTGGACATCTCTCCCAGTCTTGTTTACAATATTACCTTGGGATTTTTTTTTTTTTTTCTGTCAGTAATCTCAATTTGGCCCACTGCTAAAACAGGCATTGTCAGTTTAATCAATATTTTTTTTTTACTCTAGTTGCAATCACTTGCTCTAATATACTAGTCATCTTGTCTATCTTTCGGGGGAAACTTGAGTTACTTTTCAGTGCATTGCTTCAAAGGCCTGTCATCCAAAAGGTGTGAACTCTTTTAGGCCTTTTATTGATCTCCATATCACAAGCACCTGGCACATAGCAGGTAGTTATTTAATATTTATTTAAATGAAGGAATGAGTACATTCCAGATCTGTCACTTATTTTTCTACTTGCTCCTTTCCAGTATGGTTCCGTTTGTTCCTTGAAAGCCATAAAGGCATTATATGTGTGTATATATCCCTAATGTAGCTCGTGATCAAGGTAGGGAGCTAGGCTTCTGCTCTCTTTCAAGAGCACATGACTGTTGATGCTTGGGCTAGACAAAAAAGCCTTTCTAAGATGGTTGAGCACAAGAGTGCCTATGTTCTACCACAGCTGCCATTAGAAAAAAAAATTATTTTGGACATTCTAAGCTTACTGATTATTACTAGAATCTTATTCTATATGAAATAGCTTAACTGTTACTTAGCAAATCTTTAAGGCTTTAAAAATCATTTTCTAAATCCTGGGTTTGGTTACTTGTAACATCTTATGGAGCAAAAGTCATTCTGATTGGTTGGACTAACTTATGACACCTGAGACACTTAATAGAAAACTCAAAAACCAGTTTTTCTTTTGTGAAAGATGCAAAGGTTGATATCTGTTATAAATAGAAGTACATAGCTTTTCTTTTAGATTACTACCTTAAATTGCACCTAGAAAGAAATTGGTAGCTCACAGTGCAGGTCACTGATAGAATAGCCTTGATGCAGTAATACTGTTAAAAAAGACATGAGGGTGGTTCACACTAGCATGCTGAAGGTCTCAACTTTTGCAATGTTAATGAAACAAAACATTTCTATGTAACATGTTGTTGTTCTAGTCCTTATTTCACAGGTTTTGTGTATGTAGCTTAAGAGGTAATTACAAACCCACAATTTTATCAAAATTATATTTAATATATCTTTTTTTCATCTCTGATAGAGTATTTTTATTTAGTGATTGGATTTTATGTTTAGTAAGTTAAGAGCAGTTATAAAGCTGGAGAATTTGCTAGGTCTTGCTTTCATAATCTTTATTGTCAGTGTTAGAGCAGGTTGGAGGCATTTTTTTTTCAGCTCTATTCAGGCATATTTGACATAAATAAACTGCATATTTCAGGCATACAATTTGAGTTATAATGTATGTATACATCTGTGAAAACATCACTGCAATCTAGATAATGCACATTTCTGCCACCTCCTGCCCCCCCACCCCCCAATTTTGTCTTGTACCTTTGTATTTCATCCTCCTTCACTGTGTTTCCTCTTCTCCAGGTAACCACTGATCTGTTTTCTGTCACTGTAGATTAGTTTGCGTTTTCTAGAATTCTTTTATAAATGGAATCATACAGTGAGTATTCTTTTTTGGTCTGGCTTATTTTATGCAGCATAATTATTTTGTGATTCATCCATGTTGTTGCTTGTATTATTAGTTCTTATTGCTAAGTAATTATTCCCCCTTACATACTACAGTTATACTGAACTACAGTTTGTCCATTTATATGTTGATACACTTGAGAGTGTACTATTACAAATAAAGCTGCTATCAGTTCTTGTGTACAGTCTTTGTATGAACATAGACATTTATTTCTCTTGGGTATATACCTAGGAATGAGATGGCTGGGTCATAGGGTAGTTACCAGTTTAACTTTTGAGGGACCTGGTAGTTTTACAAAGTAGGTGTACCATTTTACATTTTATATTTCCACCAGCTGCTTTTAAAAATTCCATTTGCTAGGTGCCTGGGTGGCTCAGTAGGTTGAGTGTCTGACTCTTGATTTCGGCTTGGGTCATGATACCAGGGTCGTGGGATCAAGCCTTGTGTTGGGCTCCATGCTGAGCATAGAGCCTGCTTAAGATTCTCTACCTCTCTTGCTCTGCCCCTCTTCTCCAAATGCTCGCTCTTGCTATCTCTCTCTCTCTCAAATTATAAAAAAAAAAATTCCATTTGGTATTTTGGAGTCACTTTTACATTCATAAGCCATACCTTTTGGGGGTATAGGGAGAGGCAAAAATATTTAGAAGTTTTCTTCTCAGACCTTCAGGTAAATATTTCTTTGGAGAATTTATGAGAATCTGGAGCTCTTTTCAGTAAGACATGATCCTTTGTTAGTCTTTTTTCCCCTTGGTATGAGAAATAGAAGAATATGTTTTCTTTGGATTTTATAAAAAAAACAAAACAATAAAACGAAACACTTTTTATATTTGGAGAGTTTGGTTTCGTAAGTGATTGCTAAGATGCTATGAATCATATATTAGTTTTATAGTATTAAAGATAAGTGTGGAGTTAATAGAAGTAACTCAAACTCTCTTATAAAATAGGTTATATAAGAATTTTCTTTGAAAAAAATCTCTTAACTCATGTATAACACACTGTGTTCAGAACTAACATTTCCAAGTTCAACAGTTGTTTTTTTTCCTTCCTCCAGCATTAGAAGAAATCAGTATTTATTTGCTTGCCCCAATGAAGTGGCTAGCTTGCATTTAGGAGCTACGTCTAATGAAACATGTAATTTAAAATTCTAGAATTCCATTCAGCTTGATGTACAAGGCCTGTGGGAATTGATATACATTGAGGGAAGAACAGATTGATATCTCATGCTCACTCTGGGTCATAGGCATTCATTTTATTGAGAGGAATGTGGGTATAATCTGCTGTATTGTTTAAATTTATTTGTCTCTTTGGGGCACCTGGGTAGCTCAGTCGGTTGAGCATCCGACTTCGGCTCAGGTCATGATCTCACAGTTCGTGGGTTAGAGCCCGGCATCACGCTCTGTGCTGACATCTCGGAGCCTGGAGCCTGCTTCGGATTCTGTCTTGTCTGTCTCTGTCTCTGCCCCTTCCCCGCTCATGCTCTTCTCTCTCTGTCTCTCAATAAATGTTAAAAAAAATTTTTTTTAAATTTATTTCTCTTTTTTGTTGTGTGTAAATGTTTGCGTTCTCATAAATTAAGTACACATATGATATGACTGCACTATAATGTAATTTTGGTAACAAGTGAAGCCGAATGCAAGTGAAATTAATAATGTATCAAGAATAGGATGGCTGAGGGGCGCCTGGGTGGTTCAATTGGTTGGGTGTCTGACTTCGGCTCAGGTCATGATCTCGAGGTCTGTGAGTTCGAGCACCGCGTCGGGCTCTGTGCTGACAGCTCAGAGCCCGGAGCCTGCTTCAGATTCTGTGTCTCCCCCTCTCTCTGCCCCTCCCCCGCTCAAGCTCTGTCTCTGTCTCAAAAATAAATAAACATTAAAAATTAAAAAAAAAAAGAATAGGGTGGCTGATAGGAATGTCTTTTAAATCTGTGTCCATCGGCCCTTGTTAGCTTACCCTAAGAGATTAGCAAGGATAAGTAGCCATCGGCATCTATTCAGTGCTTGTTTTGCTTTCCTTGGCTACCTACATTGTCTGTTTTCCTCCTCTCTTTGCTTGTGTTATCTATACTCTTTTGTTATGTCCCCAACCCCTTGGTATTCTCTCATGTCTTCAGTATCAGTAGTATACCTGTTTTCTCTTTAGAATGCTGCCAGAAACCACAGATATAAATCAGTGGTACAGTTATATTTTGTAGTTTTGTTGTATATGTAAGATGAACTAAGAAATGATTCTAAAAATGATATTCTACATATATGAACCTGAGCTTTTAACTATTTACCAACATTCCAGGTGCTTCTGCATAAAACATTAAAGAAAAACCTTTAGTTGCCTAACTTGTAAATACGTTGATTGTCATATTATCCTGAGAATTAAAAATGTGGATCTTTTTCACTAGCCTGAGTAATCAAGAACTGAGACAGTGTGGTATAGAAGAAAGTTTACTTAGTGTCACAGGTCCTGGGCTCCAGCCCCAGTTCTTTTATTAACCCACTTTGTAATCCTGGGCAAGTCCTATTTCTCATCTGTAAAATGTGGGCAGTGGACTTGATCATCTTAAAAATTATAAAGATTTTCCTCTGGTGCAGGGGAAGCAAACTTATAAAAGAAGTTGTTCTTAAAAACATATTGTCTTTTTATGTAAGTTGTCCCTGAAGGCTAATGGCTTTATTAGAAATGATGTATAATCACTTTTGAATTTGTGTATATCTCATCTGTTGCAGGATGCTTTAATCTGGATCCCAATAGAGTTTTGGATGTCATTTTAGAAGTGTTTGAATGCAGGCCAGAACATGATGACTTCTTTATATCTTTATTAGAATCTTACATGAGTATGTGTGAACCGCAAACACTGTGTCATATTCTTGGGTTCAAATTCAAGTTTTACCAGGTAAAAAAATGTGTGTGTGTGTGTGTGTGTGTGTGTGTGTGTGTGTGTGTGTGTGTACGCAGATATATGTATATATATAGAGAGATTAGTCTCATGGTTTTATATTTGCAACTTAACATTTGTAAATTGGTTTTAGCTCAGCCATTCTAGCAGAGGTGGTAGATAAATGGATAACTAACAATGCCTTGTGCTAAGTACTATATTAGTAGTATGATTGGTGTGATGTGAAAGCCTAGAGGAAAGCATGATAAATTTTTGCTTTGGGGGAGATGGAACCAGAGAAGACTTTATAGATATAACCCTTTTTAAACCTGGTCCTTGAAAGATGAATAGGAGTTTGTTGAAGTTGTCTGTTCAGAAGTAACAAATAGTGTGAGTGAAGATGTGGCAGTATGAACGTATATGACAGATTGAAAAAATGATACATAGTCTGATGTGGCTGGATTGTAATATGCACGGAGAGAAAAGAAGAAACAGGAAGTAAAGTTGGAAAGGTAGGCACACTTTAGATTGTCAAGGGTTTAGAATTCTGTTGTATAGACAATGACCATGGGAATTTTTTAATGCATGTTTTACATCATTTTTCACCTAAACCACTGTAATAGTTATCTAGCAAGTCTGTGCCTCTGATTATTTCTCTTTAAGTCTTTCTTTCATGTTATTACTACTGTTACGTTTTAAAAGAGATTGAATTGACACACTGCTCAAAAACCTTTGTCTGTAGGATAAAATTCAAACTTCTAAATGTGGCAGAAAAGCCTCTTCGCAATCTGGCCCTATTCTATCTTTCCAGCCTTATCTTTAGTGTTTTCCCCCCCTCAAATCTGATATTCTAGTCATATTAAATTACTAGCCATTTCCTGAACTTAGGTATAGATGTTGCTATCTATAGACCCTTATTTACATGCAGTTCCTTATAACTAGAAAACTATTCTTATCCATCTCACCTGTCTTTTCTTCATCTTGAGGACTCCTATTTATTCTTTACGATCAAGTGCTACTTGCTCTGTAAAGTCTTGGCTGGCACTTTACCCATGCGGAATTAGTTACTTCTTAATCTCTTCTCCTAAAACTTGACACAGATTTCTAGCACTTAGCAGGTTATATTAGCATAAACTATATCTGTGTCCTTTGCCAGACTGTGAGCCATTTAGGGCAGGGTCTTTCTTTTACTAATTTCTCTGGATTAATTGACTGCTTAGCCTACAGTAAATGCTCACTAATTGTAAATGAGTGATCTGTGTTTTTAGTAAGCTAGTGCTCACGATAGCATGGAAGATTTTAACACAATAAGGCCTTTATTGTCCTTTTGGTATAGCTTTGCTAATTTGTCTACCTGCCTATGATATTCAGTCAAGAAATACTCATTTATGGGGTGTTTATGATGTGCTGTTGCTTTGCTAGGCAATGATGATACTCTGGTAAAGAGTATCTATTCCTGTCATCTGGAGCTCAAATTCACATTTCTTTTAGGATTCTCAAAAGATAACACCACTTAATGCCTCTGCTTATCTTGGCATTTTCTATTCTCTGGGATGCTCCAGAAGAGAAATCAGATCAGAACTTCATGTACATTTTGATACCAAACAAGACACATGGCAGGGTTTCTAGGCTGGAGTACTTCACGTTTGTCCAAAAACTAGCGATGGCAGCTTTTCCTGTTCCTACCAGCAACCAAGGAGTCCACTCTTAGTACAGGGAAAGAGAAGTTGAAGTATTCATCACATCTTAAGATGTGCTGTGATTGCTTTGGGTTTGAGAACATGAAGCCAATTGCTGAAGCGATAGGGTAGCTAAAATTTAACTTGGGCATAATTAATTAGAACATAGGTTAGGGCTTAGGAGACTGTAGGTTTCAGAACATACTACAGTGAATAATGATGACCTACTGCATAACATCAAGTATTATTAGTTGAATGTGAGTTTTAGAATTTAAAGATCTTTATATGAAAATGTTCCTCATAACGATAACACTTTTCAGCTGAATTAAAATATTGGGGTTGACAGTGTTGGAATAATCTTTTTTTTAAAATAGATTTTCTGATATAAGAAATACCTAATCAGGAGACATTTGATTTAGAAGTAACCTATTATTGGAAAGAGTAACCCTTGTATTGGCTCTGTGTAACACCATTCTTTTGTTTCTGTTGCCTGAGCTATCTTGTTGTGCAAATCTGCAGTCTTAAGGACCACTGAGGATAGAGGAAGAAATGTCAAAGATATTAGATAAATTGTGGTCTGGGAGGTAAAGTAAGGACAGCCATGAAAATGAAGAACTGCTTAGGGGATGTAACCCTGGGAATTGGTATATATGGTCACCCTTGTGTATTGGTCCCTTGCCTGACCCCGTCCTCCCTTCTTCCTTTCACTGCCTGAAAATGTTTACTCCCCTTGCCCACAACCTGTATTTTCAACCAGTTGGGAATTATTTGGATTAATAGGCTTCTTCCCCACCCTCCCCTCCCCCTTAATGCTAGGACTTCTAGACAGAGCTAATTATCTGCTGTGAAGTCTGTGAGAGTGATTTTAGTCTAGTTCCAGCCTGGGATCAGCTATACTGGATGTTTTGACTTGGAAGGATGGTAGGGGATGTAAGCAGTTTTAGAGCACATTTTGGAAAATTTGGCAGGCACATCTGCTTGATTCCCATAACAGGGATGGCTGTAATAGAGGGCTTAAGGATAGTGTGAAGATCAGCATAAAGGTCAGAAAGAAAGGTGTCCTAGAAAGTGTGAGGGTACCAAAAGATAAACTTGGCTGGAGTTGTCTTGCCACAGGAAAGAGGAAGGAGATGATGACTCTCACCCATATCAAGGCCCTTGATTTCTGGATTCAGAACATGGCAATAGTAGTAATAGTGGTGTCATGGTTAGGTACTATTATAACCTAAATTCACTCACTTAAGAAATGTTAATCAACGGGGCTGGTTCATTCGGTGGAGCATGAGACTCTTGATCTTGGGGTTGTGAGTTTGAGCCCCACGTTGGGTATAGATATTACTTAAAAAAAAATAAAATCTTAAAAAAAAGAAATTGATCTAGCACTTTTTATGTGCCAGGCAATAATGTTCTAGGTGCTGGGACTACATTTGGAAACAAATAGAAATTCTTGCCTTCATGACGCTTATGTTCAAGGTAAACTATGGTATGTTAGAAGGTGATCAGTGAGATGGGACAAAAAAAAAATGTAGAGCAGGATAAGGAAGAGTGGGAGTGCCAGAGTGGTGGGTTGCAACTTTACATAGAAGAGTGAGAGTATGTACCTCATTGAAAAGGTACATTTAAGCAAAGAAACAAAGGATGGGAGGTGTAAACAGATATTTGGGGAAGAGCCTCTAGGGAAAGAGAACAGCCAGTGCAAAGGCCGTAAGGTGTGAGCATGCCTGATGTGCTGGAGAACAGCAAGGAGACCAGTGTGGCTGGATCTGACTGATTGAGTGGGAGTGTGGTAGGAGATGAGGTCAAAGATGAGAGACCACATCACATAGGGCTAGTGCCACAAGGGTTTTGACTTTGATGCTGTGAAGCTCTTAGAAGATTTTGAGTAGGAGAGTGATGTGACCTGACTTAATTTTTTCATTTTGTTTCTCTTTTATGTTTTCACTTTACTATGAACATTTCAAACATATAGAAAAGAGTGAATAGTGTAATGAATACCCATAATCCCATCACCTAGAAGTAAGTTTATTAACATGTTGTTATACTTTTTTTGGAAATAATTTATATTACAGATACCATGAACGTTTACTTGTAAATACGTGAATTTGTACTTTTTAAAAGTAAAGACTTTTTCTATATAACCGTGATACCAGTTTCATATCTAACTAGACTGTTACTATATAATAAACTCAGACCATATCCAGATTTCCCATATTGTCTCCCAAATAATTTTACAACTGTTTTGTTCAAACAATGATCCAATCAGAGGCCATGCATTGTATTTGATTGTTAGGATTCTTCAGTCTCTTTTAATCTAGACTAGTGTGTCCCCCCCACCCACCTTCCTTCCTTTAATGGCATTAACTTGTTGGGACCATTACCGTGGAAGACTCCATTAGTCTTCCAAGCATTAGATGTATCTGATTGCTTTTCCATGGTTGGTTTAATTTGTTCTTTATTCCTTGTTTGTCTTGTGTACTTAGAGTTAGGTCTAAGAGCTTGACTGTGTTCAGGTAAAATATTTAATGGCAAAAGGCTTCATAGGTTGTGTTGTATGTTTCATACCATAACGTCTCATACCTGCCTGATTTTTAATGTTCCGATAAGTTGATGACAGTCTAATTCCTTTATTCAACAATGACATTTCCCCTCACGTTAATAGGAAGTTATCTGTAGGTTGATACTTTGGCACCATGTGAATATCCAGTTTTTCATTAACCTTACATTAAGTGGCTTAGAATACATGGATGATCTTTTCCTGAATCAGTTATTTTCTTAGGGGTTCCAAATTACTGACTTACTAATGTTACCGTGTCTTCTGCATTTATTAGCTATTATTCGTCTGTAAAGAAGAATTGTTCCTTCTCAACTTGGCTTGCTTGTTGTCCTGAAATACAGTTCTACTGGAAAGGCAGGACAAATGCTTCATTCTCCACCCCCATGCCCCATTAATTACTAGCTTTCAGAGTAAAGAGTTTCTTTAGTGGCTGCCTCTAATGGTGACATGAGTGGTATGTGTGTATGTGAGAGAGAGAAAGATAAGAGAGACAAAAGACACTGTGTACATGTGTGGTTTGACTTAGGTTTTCAAAGAAGCAATATGGTTATGGTAACAGTTGGAAGTTAATGAGCTTCTGAATATATTTTGAAGGGTAGAGCCAGTAGTATTTGTTGATTGATTAGATACACAATGTCCTAAAGTAGAGTTAAGGCTATTTCCAACTTTTTTTTGGACTGAGCAGTAAAAAGGATGGTGTCATCATCAACTGAGGTAGAGTAAATTTCGGGTGGAATGGGTTTGGCGTATTGGGGGTAGGAATCAGGAATTGAGTTTTGCATATG